AAGGGGTTAGTAATTTATTTTTAGAATAAAAATCAGGGGAATGTTTGACAAAAAAATAGGGAGAAAAACAAAAATCATCTGATTTCTCAAAACCCCCTTTTTTTCCCGAAGCATCTTTTTGCTAGGATGGAACCCATATGTATTCATACCCCACATTCAGGCCCCGATATCCTGATATGCAACAAACGTGACTATCATGAACCATGGTTCATGATCAACTTTATGTGGAACTTTAGGAAAAGCTATCTTGAAGGTGGGATATGGCCCGATTCGCAATTATGTGGCCCATTTTCAATTTCTAGCCACATTGATCAGGTAGTAAAAAATAGTGTAATAAAAAATTTATCTAGTGCTAGTATTGAAGTCAACAGCGTCACCAAAAGTCCATTGTTATGGGATCACTAAAAGTGTATTTTTTTGGTTAGACTTACAATTTTTTCTGAAAATGCTTATTTTGGCTTTTATGGTGAGGATGAGGCACATAATGCCGAATTAGCAATCTGTATTTGGCTTTGTATCTCGAATTCAAATGCCAAATTTGAGGCACAAAGTGCCAAAATAGTATTTATGATCTAGTATTGCATGTTGCGTTCAAATACCAGTTGAGGATGAGGCACATAGTGCTGAATTGTTATCCTTACTTGGTAGTACCCCAAAGCATAATTTTATAATATATATTTCTATAATAATTATGTCTTGACGTAGTACACCATGTTTTGGACTCCTAGAAAGCTTTCTCGTGTAGTTGATACTTTTGGGTACTACCACTTTATGTAAAAAATCGACCTATGCTTTATCATTTTACTATCAAAAAATTGGATTATACTTTGATGTACTACCAAATCAAAAAATTGGATTATGTATTAAAAAATTGGATCACACTTTTGTGTATTACTTTTCTGTGTAAAAAATTGGATCATACTTTGACGTACTACTTTGGATTATACTTTTATGTAATAATTTTTGATTTGAATTTCTCCTCGCACTTATTGTAAGAGACGACAAAAATCCCCCTTACTTGAGATAAATGATTAGTTGAATGAATTAATCAATAAATTTTGAGTTAGTATTGGTAATAGGTATTAAATCAAAGAGTTCTTGAATTTCATTGACTGATTCTGGTTTATATGGCAGAAGAATCAGAGCTCTCGCTTTATTAAAACCAGTTCCACTGTATGGTTTGTGATCAATCCAATAAATTTGTTTCCATACTTGTTGACCCTTAAGTCCTTCTCTTTTTCATTTACTCTTGATAGTATAACCACACCAATTACCCACTACTGCATTGATGAATTTTATTGTAGCATTGAGATCAGGTGTTCCTTTGGCCTGAGATTTAAATCTGAAGAGTAATAATGCATCTTGTCAAATTTTAATAATTTTTTCCTGCAATTCTTCAAATGCATTTGCCACATCATTGCCTGAGAGAATTTGCTCATCATCTATGCCAGTAAAACCCAATGATTGGAAAAGGTTAGGGCACTGACATATATTAGCTAATATTTTAGGGGGTGGGGGGATAACAGAAAATCTTAGGTCACACATAACCTCATAAATAACGTGATCATAATGGCTTCAGTGAAAGATCTGCATTTTTATAATTTTGAATGTAAGTTTTAATTTGGGAATGATCTACCTGAATAATTGTCTAAGGAATCAAGTAATAAAGACAATTCGGGAAAATACTTAGCCATAATATTTATTCTTTCAACTGCTGCATTTCCAGATGCGAATCTCCACACTTGATTTTCTTTTGTCCCACATAACAGCAAACTTTCTGGATATTTTGTGGCGAAGGCCTCAAATAAACAAGGTAATTCACTAGCAGCTGGTCTTGATTCTTCCATCTTAAATAATATTGCAGTATTGAAGTATAAAAAATATATAAAAGTGCGCGTAAATTTGCAAATTATGCTTAAAAGAACAAAAAAAATGAAAACTTCTTTGAATTATATCTTCTTATATCTTATGAATTTTGCAGTGATCCTCAGTGATCCTTGGGGTTTATATTCCGAAGAATTTGTTTTGACTTTTATATATGAATTTTATTAAAAAAATTTTTTGTTTAACATATACAGAAGTATCATGTTAGACCATTTGTAATATATATGAATTGATCGACAAAAGGGGTTCTAATTTTTCTAGAATTGATTTCCAAATTTAGCATATTCCCTGACTGCAATATAATGAAAATCTTTCGATTAATTATAGCTAATTATTAAAAGATAAATTATTCCATCTTTTTTTAACAGCCTAACTATATAATTGTTATATAAAGCAGTCACTTTAAATTTTTGTTTTATTAATCTATATGACATTACACTTACAATTGTCATCTCATGTCCTTTTCTGAAAAAAAAAAAACGTCAGGCTATTACTGGATCACAAAGAACTGTTTTATGTAAAAAGAAACAGGAAAACCCTGGAATGACACATTCAGACCTTAAAAAGTGGTTTGAACAATGTTGATGAATTGAATAGTTTTAATGAATTGAACAATTCAGATGAATTAAATGAATAAATTATATTCAATAAATAAATAAATAAATAAATAAATGCTAGTATTGACTAATTTAAAAAAAATTTTACAAAATTTGTGCAATGATGTCATGAACGTATAAATGCATAACCTGCATAAATGCATAGAATTTTCTCAGCCCAACAGTATGCACTTAGACAGGTTCGACTGTACTTGAATTATTTGTTTTATTTTATTCAAATAAACATTTGAATAGAAACCTAACTGCTACTCAAGATATGATATTATTTTAGCACAAAAAGCTTTAGAAATATTTAACCAATAATTTAATTACAAATAAGCTTTTAGACTATATGATAAAAATATTAAGAATATTATAATCAGATTCTGATATTTGCTGATACCCCATTACCCAATTTGTCCAGTAAAGAGAGAACCAATAGATTATATATAAGCAAAGAAAATGGGACCTTAAATTAGCACAAAGGAATTTTAAATCATGCACAAACATAACAGCTTGGTAGCTTGATTGACATAATGATGCAGTCTTTGGATTCAATGCAATTTTTTTTTATTGTATAATTAATCATATGTTTTTAACAAAACAAACATGAC